GGCCACTGAATTACATGACAAAGACCCCTCTGATCCCAGATTTCAAGACTTTTAGCATTGTATTCCTGTTTCATGGTAACTTCATCTTCCCCACACAAATGGAAATACCTCAAGGGCACAGTATGTATCTTTCACATATTTGAATGTCTCTCTGAGCTTAATGCTATTTAGAGCCCAAAGAAGATCCCTGATCTGGACTGGTAATGTCACTGGAATTAGAGGATTGAGGAGGACAGACACAGAAACTATGGTGACAAAATGTTCCTGCCCACCTGCCCCTTTTAGTTTCTTTTTTATTTATTTATGTTTATTTACTTATAGTTGTAGGTGGACACAATAACTTTATTTTATTTATTTCTGTAGTGCTGAGGATCAAACCCAGTGCACCATGCATGGGAGGTAAGTACTCTACCACTGAGCCAGAACCCCAGCCCCCCTTTTAGTTTCCTAATTGAGATTCACAAGTAGATGCTCTGGGTCCAGCCTTCTGCTAGGCAGGAATTCAAAACAGGTAAGATGATATCATATCTGCTATTAAAGAAGTTCTCAATGTAATCATGGGAGCCAGAGTACTTGGTACAGTTCCAGAGTATAGTTCTTCCACATGGCACACAAGACCCACAATCAAATGTATGCTTAGGTATGTTTTCCATTCAATTTTGTTCCAGGAAATCTCCAGCAGGGGAAACCAAGCATTTGAGAGGTTCCTACAAGGTGTTCTCATGTTTTTAAATCTCGTGGTACACAACTCTAGCATCAGGTGCCTGATCCACTTACCAAATCCTAGGTTTGTTCTTGTTTTCACCCTTTCAGGGAAATCTATAGTCTGCTGGGAGTGCAAGGAACTTCCTACAGCTCCTCCTGACCCATGCCCATGGAGAAATCTCCTCTGGTAACTTATTAGTAACAATTGCTAAAATTTTACCTATGCGTATACACACTGACAGTTGAAATTTACTTTGTCACCCAGCTAGTTCATTAGCCTTTTCTTTTCCTTTTTTGAATGTCATGTTCCAGATACAACTGGATGTTGAGTAGACTTGTCTAGATTAGAGACCTGGTACAAGCAAGCCTACTCTTACTATGTGTGTAGTCAACAGACAATTCCAGATCATAAACGTAAAACCAGAAACATGCACTTTTGCATAGGAAACCATTAAGACTCCATAAGAAAACATTTTTCACCTTTCCCTCTCCTTATAAGAGAAATTAGGTTTTAGACTTAAACTTCCAGAAAATAAACCCCACCTTTGTCAGACACCATTGATTAAAACTCTACTTGAGATGATATCTATAAAAGGAAACTATGGGGAAAGAAAACTTAATTGGTGGGGTTCAGCTTTGTCTCTTTAATCCTAGACAAATTCTCAAAGGATCTATTCCTGACGGGCACCCTGAAAGATACCAACACTCTTCTTATGGCCACTGGTTGCCAGAGAAACTTTTAATAGTGGATAAGGAAAGCACTAGAAACAAGTAGGAAAAAAAAAGAATGGCAACTCTGATTATGAACTATTTTCTAAAATTAGGTGTGTCATGGTATATGTATTATTGAGAAAATGTGTAACTAGGAAAATCAGTGCTGGGGGCATGTGTAAGAATTTCAGATGGTATGAGTATGTACATGAGAGTGTGAGTCACTAATCATTTGTGTGAATCAATGTGAATGGATGAGTCAATGTGATTATCTTAGTGAGGGAGTGTATGTCAGTGTCAATGTGTCCATATGAGATTGTGAGTTAAGAATACATGACAGTTACAGGACAGCATGTGATGGCATGGGCATGGAGGTTGATGCAAGCAAATGTATCAAGGTACTCAGAATGTGGCTAGGGTAAATATGTGACTGAATATGCATACTAGTAATTGTCCTGTCACATGTAGTATCAGTAATTCCCTGTGTGTGAGTACATGTATCCATCTATGTGAACTGACTATTGTGATATGAATTGGATATATCAGTATGGTGTATGCCAGTGTTAATGCACATCAGTAACTATATGTACCACACGTTCCTGGGTGTAAATGTATGTAGCAGTGTGAGTGAGGGTGTTCTACTATGAGAACAGGAGAGTGGGAATGTATAAGAATATGTGCCTGGTATGACTGTGCTACTGTGAAATTTTAGAGGGTATGTAATTTATATGAGTTGGCATGTAAGACGGTACACATTTGAATGTACATTAGTGTTAGAAACTGTAAGTGTCTATGGGAATGAGTAGGAATGTGTGGTTGTAAATATAAGTGTCGGAAAATGTGAGTTTAAGTTTGTGGACATGGCTCAGCAGTAAGTACGTCTGTTAGTGTAATTTAGTATAAGTAGTGAACGTGAATGAGAATGTGTCATTGTGAATATATCTGTGTGAAAGTGATTGTGTATGAAACTGTGTATACAAGCACTATTTATCAGCATCCAAGGGTTTATTTAAATAAAGACTCTAAATCTTCTAACTTAAAAAAAAAAGTGATTGTGTATGAGTTCGAGAAGGTCCCATGATGGCTGTCAGTGACAATGGCTGAGTTCACGAAAATGAGAACTTGTATACTTATATTTCAAGTTGTGTTCCTGCATATTTGGTGGAGAGAGCAGTTATATCTCACTGTGAAGAAAGTAAGTACATGAATGTGAATGTGTATTCCCATGCATCAGTATGATTTTGTGTGAATGTCACAGGGGAAGGAAGATGGTTTCAATGCTATAAATGTAAGTGTAAGAGCATGTCATTCTGAGTGTAAGAGTGCAAGAAAGTGTAAGAGGGTAAGTGAGTGAGATGGCATGTAGAGTCTGAACATATATAAACATGCAAATATGAGCATTATGCACATGTATTGCCCTGTAATGGATTGTGTGTGTACTGTGAGGAGTAAATCGTGATGAATATAAATATGTTGGAACCTATGAAATTAAGTATGTGTATGGCTGTATGAGAAACTGTTTCAATGTAAGAAAGTCAATGTATGTGTGTGTGTTGCATGTGTATGTGTGTGTGCAATTATGTAGACATTTTAGTGTGCAAAAAAATTTTATGTTGTATGTGGCTCTTAGTGTGTGAGAATATAAGGAAGAGTATAAAGGTGTGAGTGAGTGAGAGGATGAGGATGAGATATAGGGTAAATATCAGTGTGTGTTAATGTGAAAGTGTAAATATATGAAGGTGAGTTTGTGGCAGTGTAAATATCCCTGTATGTAGTATGTTTGTAAATAAGATCATACGTAAGGGTGAGTAGGATCATCACTGTGAATGTGTTCAGTGTGCTAAGTGAGAATGAGTCAGGAAATAAATGTGACTGTATGAGAGTACAAGTATGCTTGTGTGTGCGCGTGCGCGCGCGCACATGCTCAATGGTACTTCAATAATTGGTAGTCTGGGAAACTCCAGGAATCATCTTTCCCTCCAAAGCCACAGCAGCATACCTCCTATTACAGGCAGGTTACATAGCCACTCTTAACTTCTATCTCATCAAAGATAATATCTAACTTGAGCTAGTATCACTTGTATAATCAGAAAGTAAAAATATTAGAGAAAATACCTACCTTGAAGGGTTACGGTAGGAGCAAATGGTAACACACAAAACTGAAGTGCTTAGTAAAGAGCTGGCAACAATAGATAATAAATAAAAGTTGTTGTTGTAGCTGTCATAGAACACCCAGGAGTGATCCCAGGGCTTGCTTCTTATTTTAGTCAGTTCTAGTTACCTCCTGTCAGTCAAAGTCTATAGAGGACTCCCTACGAGAACATCTCTGGAAAGTTGAATGCATCAGTATTGACAAGGCTGTAATTTCATACCTTCAATTCCATGGCTGAAACACTGGGACTTCCCTTTCATGAGAAGGCATCACAAACAACTGGTGCTGAACTGTAGCTTTTACTTTGTCCCATAGTCCCAGGGCATGCTCAGGGTAAAAGGGAATTGGATTGTATATTCCTTGTTTGTTTTTCTTGCTTTGTGTGTGTGTGTGTGTGTGTGTGTGTGTGTGTGTGTGTTGGTTGGTTTGTTGCTTCTCAACTTGGGGAACAGGGCAGATGCCTAAATAGCTGACAAAGAGACAGAAAACAAGACAGAAAGATAGAAGGACAGCAAGCTACAAATAGGTCGCTGGACTGCAGGGTACAGAAAGCTAGAAGAAGCCAATAGAGGAAGCTACAATGACTGAGAGGCAGACAGAGACAGAGGTAGATGATCAGAGAAGCAGGCTGAGAAATCTGAAAGAAATGCAGAGGAAGAAGGAGAGGCCCAATTTGCAAAACTGCTGGGGAACTGTTGGACTTTTGTAAAAGAGACTAGAGATCTATAAGATGTAGTCCCCACCCTTGAAGAAATTTCACTCTAGTTTACCTGACCAGATGAATATTCCAGAAACTGTGAGAGAATTATTTAAGGCAGGAGAGAAACAAGTGCTATACTGCATGCTACATATTCAAGTGTTGAAGAGCTGGAAGAGAAAGTTTGCCCTTACCACTTGGTTGGGTGAAAAGAGAGGGAAGTTTCAGGAAGGTTTAAGTTAAGCTTGGCAGGCCAAGAAGAGGGTGGATGGGTGGGAGTACACTTCGAATAAGAAGGTAAAAATAAGATTATGGGGCAGTAAAATCACAGAAACCCATTGACAGATTTGTGGTGTGTGGCTGAAATGCCACTTAGACATCAGGAAAGGAAGAGAACAGGAAATGACAGCTTGATGGGAAGCAGTTTCTGTGTTACAATGAAGCTCTTAGACGCTGCTTGACATTTGCAAAGGACCTGGCAATGATTGTTATGTTGTTTCTCCTCCTCACCCTGAAATGTAGGTCAAGGCTGTCAGTTTCATATTGGAGATAGGGGAACCAAGAGAGCAAGGGAAGCTGTACTAGGACAAACTCCCCCAGTAAGTAGGGGTCATGCCCTGAGGTCTAGCTGGTAAGGCCTGGGCAGGGTATTTAGTACTGGTGCCTCTGATGGAAAGGCAACATTTACCAGAATTTTGAGATCCCTAACTCTCTGCCTTGGAATCTATTACTCACCTCACACAGCCACTGCTGTAGGACCTCAGCACAGGTAGGCACTGCCCATGAGAAGGGGCTGGGCTGGCTTCAGCTCCGGCAGACTCAAAACTAAGCACAACAGCTGCCACAAGATGCAAGAACTCAGCTTGTCTTTCTTGGGGGAAACCTGCCAAAAGAAGCATCGTGGGGGAGAGGGAACCTCTTTCTCCACCTGCTACCACTCCCTAGTCCAACCCCCCCCCATACATGTCACATGCATATACACTATAGGGAATTTCAAAAAATTCTTTTAAGAAAGCTAGAGAAGCAGAGAGGGAAGACGTCCTTTTAAAGGGGAGGAAAAAAAATACACTCTTATGCAGGATTCCAGAAAGGGCACTGAATTAGTATTTCAGAGATAGGAAATTTAAGTTGAGAGTTAATGTTTGTCACTTCACTTCTCTGGGCCAATTTGCTATCAATAGGAAAAGACTCACCTTAGTCACCTTGGGAAAGTATTGGGAGGGCTAAACCAAATAAGATAGATGTGAATTTTTATATAATTTGCAGGATCATGGGTAAATGTGCATCATTATAGGAGGTGACAAAATCTTGAGTACAATAGGAACTAAGCTTCGTGATGACTTGGCACTACTATTCATTTCATTCCTTTCCTCAACTCCATGTCTCCACTTCCATTTCCATTCCCCTTCCCACCAACCTCTTTCACAGGTGAGGAAGAAAATGTCTTTCAGGCAAAAGCACTCCAAGTTCCCCTAAAGGCCTCAACTCTGGAACTATTTGGGACATCCCTCTACATTCTTCCTATCTCCGGCACAGAGAATTATTCTACAGTCTCCCCAGATTTCTTAGGTTGAAGATATAATGTTTGTTGTTATCATTTTGGCAATGATTTACCCTATCCTTCCCATATAGGTTTCCATGTAACCATGAAGCCAAGTCTTTCTGTATCTCCCCCCACCCCTGTAGTGCTACGGATTGAACTCAAGACATCATGCATGCTAGGCAAGCACTCTACCATTAAGCCAAACTCACAACAGAAGATGGGTCTTTTAACTACTCCATTTTCTGCCTTTTCTCCCAATCAGTTGAACCTTTCAAAGAAAGGCTCTTCCCCTTGTAGAACCCAAGCTCTTCAGTTTCTATTTTTTATTCCTCCTCCACTCCCATCAATGCTGTTTATCCTCAAAGAAAAAGCAGCAACTATATGCTAATTTCCTATAGAGCATGATCCAGGCTAGCATCCATTTTATTAGAAGATACCAGAATGTACAGTGCCTTATTCCAAAGATATGGATGGATATATATGTAAAGGTGAAGATGGCAAAATTGAAGCCTCAGGGAGCTCAGAAAAGCCCTATGATCTCCAGTTTCCCTTCTTGAATAAAAGACCAAGCCATACCCTGGGTCTGCCTCTTGCTCTGGGCAACACTCCAGCGCACGTCTGTCCCTGAGCCTCCCTGGCATTCCCTGTGTACTTCCCACATGCACACTCCAGGCAGCCTTTCCAAATCCCACCCACTGCACCACTGAGTGGTGTACCACCCCCTTCCTTGCTGCATGAGCTCACCCTGCAAAAGGGTGGGGGTAGAAGGAGAGGAATAAGGACTGCCAATGCTCCAGAGAGGGGCAGGGTTCAAGGAGAGCACAGAAAAGTTCTCAAGAAGCCCGCTGCCCATCCTTAGAACTGAGAGCTAGCTGGAGAGGCAGCATCCACTCATTGGGGTAGGGAACAGTGCTACAAGAAATGGGGAAGGGATACACACCAGCCCAAACTAACCAAGAACCTCCAGGTTTCTGACAAGATCAGTTTACCTTGAACTTAACTCTACCTTATCCCAGTTGCCACAATTGAAACATTTTGTAACTCTATGGCAATTAGCCTTGAACTCACCAGTTGCTCAGCTTGAGCCAATGCAAAAAGACATGGAAGGACACAGTGCTGGACCAGTTAGCCATACTCCTCTGCTGTTTGTAGGTGTGTTGTGTTAAGTGTGTGTGTCTGTGTCTGTGTGTGTGTGCGTATATGTGTGTAGGGTAGTATGCTCTGTGTGAGTACATGCACATGCTGGGTCAAGTATTTGTGTGCTGTTGCATGTGTGTATGCTGCATCATATCTATATCACATTGTATGTTCATTAAGTCTGTGTCATGTTGGGTGCATGTGTAGTGACATGTTTATATCACGTTGTATATGTGTATGTCAGTATGCTACTTTGTATGTCCCATGTGTCTGTATTGAGTTGTGTTTGTATTGCACCTCTACTGTGTCATGTGTACATGCCAGTTATCTAATTTGTACTGTGCTATGTCTATGCCATGTTGTATATATCGTGTGCCTATATCATATTTTGTGCCAATTCTGCCTTGTTGTACACCTGCAATCTCAGCTTCCTGTTGGAGACTGGGATGGGGGTCAGTGCACATATCTTGTACATACCTAACCCCCCTTTGCCTTACAGCATTCCAGCTTCATGATAAAATCCTTGTCTGGGGACAAGGACTGTACTTTAGTGGTGGGAGTGGGGGTAGGGATGGGGGAAGATGTGGACAACTATTTTACAACAGACCCCTCCCTTACTAATTGCCTTGCCTAGCACTAACAATCTCTGGGAAAAGCATTTTGGAAACTTTTTCAGGCCCAAAGAAGAAAAGGATACTGGGTTTGGGAAGGGGAACTATGACTTCCTCTCTAAGCCCATTCATATGAGAGAAGGACTTGAAGGAATGGCACCTCCCCAAATTTCTCGTTCTGGCTGGCTGGAAGGACTGGAGCCTTTCATTTTAGGGACTGTAAGCTGCACATGTATACTGGCACCCAAGTTGGGTCACAGGATGTCAATGGGGAGCTCTGTTAAAGGTATCCCTGTTAGGGTCACTAGAGGGCGCTATTGTGCTGTTAGGGATAGTGTCTCTTTAGGGTGCAGAATTCCAAAGTCTATGGGACTCAGGTGGAGATGGGGGAGAAAGGCATTAAGAGAAGAATATATACTGTCATCCCAAGCCCTTCCTCTTTGGACACAGAGTTAAGGAGTAAGAGGAACTAGTGACTATCCACCACTTACCAATACCTGGATTCTGTCTATAAGACCACCACATAAAGCTTTTCAGGGCATTGGTTGTAAGTCCCCTAACAGATTCTAGACTTGGACTTCTTTGATTCCTTCTGTACCCCATTCACATGAAGTAAAAGTAGAGCCACAATGCTGAAAGAAAAAAAAAAGTGTGTGTACTGTTTGTGGCATTATTTTGCATTGTTTTCCCAAAAACCCCAGGATATCCAAAAGAGCGTGTAATATAGACTGAGTATTTGGGAGGGGGTAGAGGAAAGCTGTATTTTAGTAAACCTGACATTACTACCAAGAATAAATGGACCTGCTTCCTAAAAATGTCACCACCATCTTAGAGAACACCTAGTCCAACTGTATCATTTGAAAGACAAGGAAAATAAGGCTCAGAGAAGAATAAACATGCAGGAGCCCTGATTTCTGATTCCCAAGGTTCATTCCATCCCAGCTTCTGGTCCTCTAGTCCCTAAAACACTTTCTTCTTTAAATTCAACCCCCTCCATCTTACAGGAAAACCCTGGCCTCCATCTCCACTATGTGGGCTTCACCACAGCAGTCCTATTCCGTCTCAGGATCAGACCCCTGTGACCACACTTTGCAATGATTTCCTCTCCTCACCAGTAAACTGTAAATTTTTTTCCATCTTCAAGGTCCACTTCCCCCATTTTGCATCCCACCTCTAGACCCAACTGTAGCTGCAGTTTGCCCCCCTCACTGCATCCCCTGGGTGCATCACAGATTACCAAACCTGCAGATAATTGACCGAATGTGCAAATCAGACACGGATCTATTGCATTGATTAACATTTCCAATTAAACTCCTGGGTTAGTCTGTGTGTATTAGGGACTCAAGTAATCACTGAGTATGTAAATGCAAATGCCTTCCAAGGCCACAGAGCCCGGTAGGAAGCAATGCATTTCTGGGAGGAAATGGAAACAGACTGCAAGACTCAGAGTTTCATTTGGTTCTCCAGTACTCCAAAACAATATTTTAAATATATGGCTGTTGATCCTAGGCTTGGGCTTCACACCTGAAATGGAGGACTTGGGTCCTGCGCGTGGATGCATACCCTTTCCCGCCCCCTGCTGGAAAAGCTGTATAGTGTGGAGTTGGCCTGCAAGTATTCCCAGACCCTGCAGAGGGAACCGCCTAGCCCCTGGCAGGTGGGGCAGGGAAGAGGGAGTCCTGATGCCAGGGCTTAAACTGCACTCCAGATGTCTTGACAGCTGCACTTACCTTCCAGGGTAGAGGTTTTACACTGTGCCCTGTCTAAACACTGGATCAAACAGGCCCCTGGGAAGGAGGATTTGTTTTTTCCTTTAAGCAGGGCCCTCAGACCTGGTCCTACACTACCCTACTGATTTTACATATCAGTCAACCTGTCTGGGCCAGATTCATAGTAACCCCGCTCCCTTTTCAGGTTCTGGTCCCCCCATCCCTTCTCCTTACCAATGAGGAAAGTGGCTGTTGTTGAGGATGCTGCTCACCAAGCTTCTTCTTGTTCCCTTAACCAAAGTTACTGGCTCCTGAAGGTAGGTTATGCAGGTGGGCATGCTACTGATACCCTGAGTAGCTAAAAATTGTCCCTATAATTTTGGCTGAGCCATAACTGCTTCAACTACTAAAACTTTCCTGTATCACCAGGATAATCAGGGCCTTTGGGCTGGAAAGACCATGTTTTTTCTCCTTACACCTCTGTATGGCTTTAATCTGCACCCCATCTGATCTCAGTCTGATTCTACCTACTCTGTCTGATTTCTAGATCTGATTTTTTTTTAATCTTGGTCACCCCCTTTGACCTCATAAAAGCAGACTCTGATGGCAGCACCTTTCCTTCCCTTCAGTTATTCCTCATTTCCCTCACCTGTCATGTCTGCTACCTACTCTCCTCCAAGATCCCAACAAACTTGTTTGCTCTTTATACTTTTTCTGACTCTGACCAGAAAAATCTCCAACCTGTGGGAATGGCCAGCTAGTCAGAATGTCCACAGGGTGTTATGGCCCTTTGCCTGTACCTTCTTACATTTAAACCTCGGTTTAATTAATTAATTAATTAATTTTAATTAATTAAACCTCGGTCTTTCCTATAAGGCTCACTTGCCAGTCTGGAGGCTTGAAGGATCTGCCCCTTGACACCCCAAGGTCTCTCTGGACTGTCAGCCTTAACACAGCATACCACCTAGTATCTTCTCATTTTTGTCTTGCATAGGCATGGAGGAGTATGACATTTGTATTCAGAAATCCAAGCCCAGTCTATTAAATATTCATTACCATATTAATCCTCTTAACCCAATGGAGCCCTTGATTGGGAACCTCAAGTCCAAATCGCAGATGTTGCCCAATTATAATTTTGTAAATGGCCCAGTGAAAACCGCACTGACCTTTATACCTTGCTCATCCCAGAACAGGGCCACAGTGTTGTCACGAACAGGAATGGACCTCCTTCTGTTCCAAGACCTCAGACAGCCATACAGTTGGCCTGGATTTGAGTCTGCAAAACCATGGGGGGAGCAAGACTAACATGGCTAAAGGCTTCCCTGCTGAAAGCCATTTTTTAAAAATAGCATTGCAACCGCCCCCATCATGCTTCCCAAAGCCAAGCCACTCACCCTTCTATCCTTTGCTTCTAGAGACCAAAGAGCAGACCCTCAAGTCCAGAATCTGGAACTGGATTCTGGAAGGTGGGACCAAAAGGGGAGGGGGGAGCCACACACACACAAATACACACACACACACACACACACACACACACCAAAAAACCCCAAATGGGCCCTGTGGTCTTTCCTTGCCAGAACCACCTGCCGCCCCCAACCCTCACCCCACTCCTCAACCACCACCTAAGAAAAGAAAATCTACAAAAGAATCTAAAAATCTACAGAATCTAAAATGTTCCAGTTGCCCAGAACTGTGGCAATAATCTTGCCAGAGCCAGTTCACAAATGAGGGAAATTCTCCCTGCGAGGTGACGGGGACAGGGTAGGGGGAAGGCACTAGACCCAATGACCCCACTCCCCAAACACAAGGGCCAGCTACAGGATTCCAGGGCTTTCAGGGGCCTTATTGCATCATTTCCACAGGAGAAGAAAAGAGTCCTTCTGTCATTACCATCCCCCCACCAAAAAAAGGGGAGGGGGATAAAGAGAAATTTATAGAAGTGGGTAATGCACCCATTTAAGAAAATCGTCACTTTTTCTGTTTGCTCAGGTTGAGCTCTTCCACTGCTGACTTGGTGAGACAGCGACCACACCCCCTCCCCTTCTCTAAGGGGCTGCTGTCACAGCTACTGTGGTGGTGATGGGGGGGGAAGGAGGGTTCGGGAAGGTGGTTTAAGACTTACAGGCTGACGTAGCTCTCGGGCGGATTTTGCCTCAAGCGGCCCAGGCCCTAGTGAGTGAGTCCAGGGCTTGGCCAAGCAAAAAAGCCCGGGCCCTTCGGGAACGGCCCTGACACACCCACTTGTCCGCGTATGCGAACCAGGATCAAGCAAACTGCTCGCTGGGCTACAGGGGTAGCCACGTAGGAGACTGGAGGGATGTGGGAGCGGGAGGGGGTACTCCTAAAGCAGAACATCTGCTCAGCAGTCTCAGAGCTGATCCCAGCCGCCACCCCCTCCTCCGAGCTAACAAGGTGCCGGTAGGTCGCGGGATTTACCTGCCACGGGTCCAGTCACCCTGTCAAGACCTTTCCTCTACCTCCAAACGCTCTGGCTGGCGGGGCTAGGGAGCCGCAGCCCTGCGGCCGCAGCCGCAGCCCCGGACCCACCCGCTCCCCCGGCTCTTCTCCCGCCCCAGCTCACTCGCTCCCGGAGGGGAAAAGCTGTAGCCCCCAGTGTGAGATCCCCAACGGTTCGCTGCCACAGCTGCCCGCCCGCGATAGAGCTCTTGCTTGCCAACCGCTCCCTAGCCCTTCTCTGCTATGACGTCACCCGGGCTCTGCACCGTACCTAGGCCAATCAGATGGTGAGCATAAAACTAAAATCGCCCTGAGTGGGCTACTGGGGACCAATCTTTTGTTTCCAGGCAGGAAGCGCCCGGGAAGGGGTGGGGGGACTGAAGGGGAGGGAACAAGGAGAGGGAAAGAGAAAGGAGGTAGAAACTTCTACACCGTCGGGTTGTCTAGACAGAGGTGGAGCCATCAAGAAAGAGGTACCTAGATAGAGGAGGGGGAATTTCATGTTATCTTCCTTACTTGCCCCACTGAAGAAGACTGGGCTTTCCGGGGAGGAAATCTGACCAACTACAAGGGCACACATTATTGAGGAAAATGGACTAGATTTGGGACACCACCTGTCAGGCAAACGGGTTACACAGAAAACTCAGAGAGGGATTCAAAGAGATGGTAATCTACATAGGGAATCTACCCTTCTGAAAATGAAACGCATTTCAAAACACACGATATTATACAAGAAAGAATAATTATTCCACTTCAAATTGAGTATGTGCATGATTTCATCAAAATGTGGTTCTCCCTGTCCATCCTTTTCCCAAAACCTCCAATGGTTTCTCTAGTCTCTCCTGAAAAGTTCAAAATTTTGCAGATGTCCAAAGCCTTCTAAAACCTAATTTCAAAAATCATCCCTTACTACTCCAAAATCCAGGAGGATTTGGCTAAATTATATAAATTATGGTAAATCCTTGCAAGGAGACAGTAAGCTGGCATAAAAAGCCTAATACAATATAATAAGTATATTTATAATAAAATGATATAAGATATAAAACATGCCTACAGAAAACAGAAGAGAACATAAAATTATAATGGTTGGGTTAAAGTAGTAGAACTATAGGCGTTTTTTCCTGTCTACTTTCCAAGTTGGTTAAAATGGGTCATGACCATTTTCAGTTTGAGAGAGAGAGAGAGAGAGAGAGAGAGAGAGAGAGAGAGAATATGTGTGTGTGTGTGTGTGTGTGTGTGTTTTACTGGTGATTTAACTGACAGGCACTCTACTTCTTTTATACATCTGCAGACTTGCTTTTCATTTTGAGATAGAGTCTCCTTCAAATGCAGAAGCTGTCCCTGAACTTGTAATCCAATCCGGCTGCTTCAGCCTCTGTAGTGGATAGGATTACAGGTGTGCACCACCCCACTCAGCTTCAGTGCACTTTCATTGAATTTTCTCAATATTGCATAACATTCACCAATCATTTCTCCATAATGCCCACAAAATATGTTTCAAAACCAAAAATAACCTTAATATATTCTCCTAGGTCCTTTTAGAAAAAGTCACACCACAGATCTCCAGATTTACTGGTGATAATTTCTCAGGCAGCTGGAGAATGGAATATTTCTTTTGGAGTAATTCATTTTGAATTGTGATAATTCAGTAAATTGATAAAAGAACAAAGACCCAATCGATGACAAAATGGTAAAGAGGAAAACAAAAACTAAATAAACCACATGATCCAGATCACTTTGCATCTCGTCCTCCTTAATTAAAATATATATTTATGCATACATATTGCATGAACATTGTAGAAAGTGGCAGATCTGGGCTACCTACCTAAATCTGAATCCAAAGTCTGTGCATTTTTCTAATGTGCTACAGTGTACTCCTAGTAAGAATTAAACATGGTACTTCTGACTTCGTTAAAATACATACTTGCTTTTAAAAACAGACTATACAAGATTGGTGGGGTTTTCAAATCCAGGCATTTAAAAATATAGTTTTTGTCGTGTTGTTGTCTTCTAAACCAAAAATGCACAACACTCTCCCTCTCAAATCCCTGATTAATAGGTTTAAATCAGAATGATTCTGCTTCTGATGATTTCACAGTTATCTTTTTAATTAACTTTGGTGTTAAAAAGAAGTAATCACATTACATTGATTTTTTTTTTACATAATGGTAAAAGTAACCTAAAGAATATTACTCACTTAAAGTGATGTCATTTACTTAATGTTAACATATATGATGTATAAAATGCATTTATTTGAGTTATTTTAAACAAGAACACTTTTTTTAAGAAACAGGAAGATATAACGAGATTTTCCTGGCTAATGATTAAACATGAGTCTTCTAAGCTATTGATTTAAATTGTAATTAAAAGGTATTTGATTTCACTTTAATCCTCCCATATACCTCAGCTGTAACTCAGAGGTATTTATGCAGTCACTGCACATGGTTATTTAAATGTTTCATGTGTATATTTCTCCTCACCCTGGTGATTACAGAAACTAGCATGGGGCCAAAATCCTATTAGGTGCTTGACAAATTAAAGCATAGTGATGCCATCCAAAGAGGACAGGAGTTAGGACCCAAGCCCAGCACAAAAGACTTGGGTCTTCCTATTATAAAAATGACAGCCTATATTATTTTTGATAGCAGAAAATGGTCTTTACTGTCAGTAATGGTTTGTTTTCCAAGAATGTGGCATTTATACACAATGGAGTATTACTCTGCATTAAAAAATGACAAAATCATAGAATTTGCAGGGAAATGGATGGCACTAGAGCAGATTATGCTAAGCGAAGCTAGCCAATCCCTAAAAAACAAATGCCAAATGTCTTCTTTGATATAAGGAGAGTAACTAAGAACAGAGTAGGGATGAAGAGCATGAGAAGAAGATTAACATTAAACAGAGATGAGAGGTGGGAGGGAAAGGGAGAGAAAAGGGAAATTGCATGGAAATGGAAGGAGACCCTCAGGGTTATACAAAAGAACATACAAGAGGAAATGAGGGGAAAGGGAAAAATAATACAAGGGGGAGAAATGAAGGTCAGTAGAGTGGGTAGAGAGAGAAGAGGGGAGGGGAGGGGAGGGGGGATAGTAGAGGATAGGAAAGGTAGCAGAACACGACAGTCACTAGTATGGCAATATGTAAATCAATGGATGTGTAATTGATGTGATTCTGCAATCTGTATATGGGCTAAAAATGGGAGTTCATAACCCACTTGAAGCAAAGTGTGAAAGATGATATATCAAGAACTATGTAATGTTTTGAACAACCAACAATAAAAAAATAAATAAATAAACTGGGCAAAAAAAAAAAAAAGATTCTACGCTGGAATAGCTTGCAGATTTCATCTGTGCAATTTGTCCACCCAGCCCCACCATCCTCAGCTCTCTTGTTTGGGAGCTCCAAACAAGATTTAAGGATACAACAGTACTACCTTAATAACCTCTTGGCATGTGTACCCTACTTCTCAGATTACAAACCACTATTGTATCTTCTTGTTTAATCCTCACAACAACTGCAACAGTTTACTTTGGCAATTATTATGATCTGTATTTTGTAGATGAGGCAATGGATGCTCAAGGGTTTGAAGTCACCTGTCCAATGCTTCACAGTCATGGTCCCAGAAACCAAGTCTTCTACTTTCATTTTTTGTGATCTTTGTATTACCCAACATGGCAACTTAAGGGAATGTGTGTGGGGTAGGGAGGCATTAAGTGTTTTCTTTATATGCTCTCTGACTTATAATGCTGCCACTTGTAATTTTTCAAGTCTGTGATGGTGCACAACTGATAAGCATTCAGTAGAGACCACACTTCAATTTTTCAATTTTGAATTTATGTTTTTCTGTTGGGGCCTTCCAACCCAATCAGCCACTTGATTCACATATGTGAGAGGCTCTGGAATAGGGCTTGTTGCAAGACAAGTAAGCTAAAATGAATCTTCTAGCCAAATCCTGGATGAAGGGAACATTCTCATACACTGTTGAGTGAAGTGAAAAATGGCACAACCCATTGGGAGGAAAGTAAATAATATTTAGTTTTTTACAATTCCAACACAAGGAATCCGCCTACAGATATCCTCATAACAATATACCAACATGTGCTCAAGTACATTCACTACAAATTCCCCCTCAATAAGGGAATTATCAGAGAGTTTTAAAGCACTTTATTGAGATCTGATTACTATGTAAAAAGTTGTACATATTTAAAGTATACAACTCCATGACTCTGGGGCTAAGTATACTATACTTGTAAAACTATCAACACTATTGATACTGTAGAAATCTCCAGAAGTTCTCACCTGTCCTAATAAGGGAATTGTCAGATAAATTATGGTATGCAATATTTTAGAATATAATGCATCACCTAAAAAGAATCAAGTAGCTCCCTATATACTAAAATAGAAACATACCTGAACACATTCTTCAGTGGAAAAAAATTGCAGAACAGCATGTGTACTATGATTTTATTTTTGTTGAAAAACAAACCCTTTGTGTTTATATTTGTTTAAGCTGGAATTATACACAAACTGCTAATAGGGTAACTGTGGGAATAAAAATGGGAAAGAAAAGCATGTGGGTACGTGTGTGGTATGGGGAGTATTCAATTTTCTTGGTATAGAGATGGTATCCAACTTCAAATGCTGAAACTTACAATTTTTCCACTTTGGGATGGTGCAAAAGCAATATGCTTCCAGTAGACGTTTTACTTGGAATTTGGAATTTGGATATTTTCCCAGGCTAGTGATATGTAGAATGATACTCTCTCAAAATACTGGGCAGTGGCTGCAAGCCACAAATCCGAGTCAGCCATGTGATCACAAGGGGGAATAACATGTACCCCACAGTGGAGTATGTAGCTAAGGTAGGATGTTCAGTAGGTTAGGTGTATTCAAAGCATTTTCAACTTGTGATGGGTTCACTGAAATGTAACTCCATCAAAAGTGAAGGAGCATCTGTACTTCTGTATTATTTTTACGGTTTTTTTACAATAAGCATATACTGCATTTTGGTAAAATACAGCATTAAAAAAGGAAAATATAGCTTTCTTTGGGTTAAGACAAAAACAAACAGAAAAAGCACCCAGTTATCCTGAAAGAAGTCTAAATGTTAGGTCAATGGTTCAGGTAGAATAATC